TGCCGTCGTGTGCCGCTAGGAACACCACTGAAAGACAGAAAGAGCACCTTGTGTTAGGGTGTCAGATGCCTGGATGCCCGTAGTGGGCGAGCCAGAGATGTCAGAACAACAAGCGCGAGACTGCGGGTGCACCACAGCTGCTTTTGCGCGCGTTCTACTGTGCGTCCGTACATGTGCCTAACGTGATCCAAATGAAATGGGTGCCATGAAAGCGATTCTGACAGTTGGGATTCCGCCACGTATGCAAAGACAGGTGAATGTTTTCTTTTTCTTGTTTTGTTTTGATCAATTGCAGAAATCATTTTAGCAATCGAACTGTACTTGTCAGAGTGGTTCGACAATATTTTGTTTCACAACCACCTTTGTGGCGTTTGGGTGGCAGCGATACTCAAACAGAACATTAAAACGTCTCAGTGGTTTTGATCCAACGCGCTCGCCTATGAATCCCTATTTGTCGGGTTTGAATACTGACGGAAGTGCATAGAATCTGACGGAGGTCGATCTGAGATTTCAGTTGCACGTCAAAAGATCTCGATTTAGTCAAAATAAACCCCCAATATTATTTTTTTTTTGTTTATTATTTTTTTTAGGGGGGGGGGGGGGGTGCGAATTGATTTTTGCTAGGTTGGCTTGTAAAAACCTAAGATCTGAATATTTGCTTCGCTTTACCTTAGATCAGAGCGCAGAAAACGCTACGTTAAGGACTGTGAAGCCACTGAAGTAGTGCCAAGAGCGCAAGGTCATGCGGTTCGTTCTCTTTTTAAGCCCGTGCAGTCGCGCTAAACTAGAGCCACTAAATAAGCTACGCTTCACAGTAATAACAGCTCCGGATATTGGTGCTGAAATTCATGGTTGTCAGTTATTTGAAGCTGTATCTGAAATCACCAGGAAACTCTTTTCCGTCCTCTACAAATTTTTGAACAGTTCACAGCGAAGCAAAGCAATATGCTTACATGAGCCTTCCAACAATAAAACTAATGCTGGGGAAGTCACACTTTTGAATCATGGCGATCGGTAGTTATGTCTGCTTTGTACTAAGCACAAATATGGCGGTGCCCACAACAATATCGGGAAAAAGAGTCCCGATACTTTAAGCATATTTCATTTAGTGGCTGTAGGATAAACCAAGTGCGGTAGGGGATCATTGGCCGAGTATAGCGGGTTTCACATGCAGCGATTTTGGCCCTAGAGCGGCGCGATTTCTGCCGTCGCGGCGCTCGTGCCGCTCAACCGCTGGTGCTGGCTAGGGTGCCTACATGTTTCCGCCGCTCCGCTGTTTAGGGTGGCGACAACGTTTGTGATACCTGTTGCCGACAAACCAGTGTTGCCTACCTCGTTACCATGGCAACCTCCGCTGTTTCGTCGACCATTTTGTCACACTTGCCAGTCGTGCGCTCGCGCTACTCCGCTAATCCTCGTTAGGGCGAGGGAGCGCCCACCGCTCTCGTTCCGACGGCGAGGTTTCGGCGTGCAATGCCGCTCTGTTGCGTTCTATTTTGTCGAGGGGACTCACGTTTCGTTAAACGCAACGCATACTTCCTGCTCGCAACTTCAAAGTATGAAACACCCGAATAAAGAGAGCGACAGCCACGACGACCGCCATCCCGCTGAGCCTCCGACTCGTCCGACTCCTCTTATAAACGGAAACGGAAGTGGCCTCACAGTGTTGCCGGTGTGTCGAAACTACGAAAACTCAACGTTGTGTACGTTTAGCGAAATAAGAAGTGGGTCAAAATGGCGGTGGGAGAGGATCTGGGAAAGGGTAACAAGAAGTTGGCGCCACCCTAAAGCGGAGCGGAAACATGTAGGCACCCTAGTGCTGGCCAGAGCGCCGCGACGGCAGAAATCGCGCCGCTCTAGGGCCAAAACCGCTGCATGTGAACCAGGCTTATGTCGGCGCGCCGCAGATCAAAGCACGTGGAGAAATGCGCGAGTGCGAGTTCAATTCAAAGCACGGAGCTCACGCTACAGAACCTGCAGGGACTCCGGGTTCAATCGCCCATCTGCATTTTACCGGCGTGCGATCGTATATCACTACTGCGCGATGCACGTTAAAGACCCGAGCTAACGCTTGTACTGCAGTGGGTAAATTTATAATATACAACGGGTAACAATGTAGCGGTACAAAACTCCTGCTGTCTGATAACAAACGACTAATTTTGAATGCGCCGTGACATTTCATGTTTAATGTGAGCCCCACCCCTGCCCGTTTGGATCTGAATGAGCGTCGTACCGGCGTGTGGTCGTGTATCACTACTGCGTGGTGCACGTTAAAGACCCCAAGCTATCAATTGTACCGCACTGGCTAAATTGCTCATCTACAGCTGAGACACCAGACGCCCTCTGAGGCAGACTAACTTCCGGCTGTATAAACGTACACACAACAATTTGCTTTTTGCTTAAGCTCGCGTGTTTGCGCGTTTCTTTTTTTTTTTTTTACCTTTGATTATGCGGTAATTACTTATGATGAAACAGAGTATAGTTGTCGGACTTGAGAAAGAAAATATTATATGAATAAGAAAATAACACGTTAACGCAACAAAAAAAAAAAAAAGAAGAGAACAGATGGGCTCACTCTTTTTTGAAAAAGGCAATAATATGATTGATTACAATTGCCTTCTAAATTTGGCGAAAGCACTTCACGCCTTAGTGAATTCAGGTCTGAGCGTACCAAACGCTGCAAAAGCGAGCTCTGCTTTGAACGGCTCTATCGAGCACGTGCGCTTGTTCAATGGAAGAGTAATTCATGCTCCCGTTTGTAGGTTCCGCCTTCGCGCGCACGGTAAAACGAAATACTTTACTGGTAAAGTAATTGGTGGAACAAAGCGTACCTTTTGCATATGTGCAATTCTTCAGTTTTCACATCACTACACACTTGCTTATCATTGTTGTTTTCGTTTTCATCTTCAATCTAGCTCATGCTCTTCTGTGTGCAACATGCATCAGCGACCAAGGTAACCCAGGAGCAATATATTTCACAGATTGCAAATCACCCATGTGGTCGCTTGCGTGGGTAAACAATGTTGTGTGTCAATAACAACTGGATTGTATGAAATGACGCGTGGAAAAAAACTTGTTGTCAGCACACGACCTTTGGCAAGCAGTGAATACTTATAATCGGCGCCGAGATGATTGATAGCCTTTAGTAGGAGGACGTTTTCTATCAGCTCAGAGTTATAATATTTCCTTCTTTCTGTTGTAAGGAATAAGGACAAAATCTAAAGGTAATGAAGTATTATGAACATTGAAACATCACGGCCTGAGCAGTATATGTGTAACAAACTTTAATTTTCGATTCATCCTTAGCTTCGGTACGCTCAAAGTTATTGAAATATGTAGCGCAGTTTCAGTCTCAATCAGCGTGTGATCTGCGCACTTACACCATATTTAATACAACGACACACTCCACCTTTTTCATATTTTAATTTTTGCACACCACTGCTCAGGCGCAAAAATCACGAAGATAAGACTGTTACATTACTTAAACTCTGTGCAAAAGCTAGCCACAGACACAGAATCTTTGCCTGGCCAGTTACTGAATTTATTACTGTACTGATATAAAAATTAATTCTTATCACTCAATGCTTTCAGTGAATTCTTAACCTTGGCATTACTTTATTAAGTGCAAGACTCCCGCACCAGTCCTACTTTGTGTTTATCAAACAATACATACACCTGATTGTCATTTTTTTGTTTTCTAATCTTATATGGTTTGGTCAAAATAAAGATCAAGTTAACTAAATGAGACACCCGACCCCCTAAAAAATAGTTTATTGATTTAATTTTTGTGGTATTTAATTCCTCAAGCTAATATTCTGGAAACCCGCGTCTATCACGTCATCACGTTTTTCTGGAGATTCATAAAGAGCCAAACACAAGCACGACAAAAGGGCCGGCCCGTTATGTAAATTTAATCACATCGAAATATGTGGAATTGGCCTCCGAAATCCGCGGTGTATTAATTACGCACAAGAAATCTTATAGTTTTCACGCGTCGGTTGTTTTGTCGTGTACGTGTCTCACCATTAGCTCAGAACCATTTGCTCGTTTTGTTCTGATCACACTTGTTGGAGACGAGAGCTCGGAGCGTAGGCAACTGGCTCAGTTGCACGAGAACTGGCGCATCCTTGCGCGTTCCACAGAAAGCTCGCGCAGAGAAGACAAGCAAATGACCAGGGGTGTCAATTTCAGGATATAGACAAATACTACACTAGGGTGCCTACATGTATGTCTGTCTCAGGGTGAAGACATCCATTGGTGCCCTGAATGCTCCAGCGCGTGACGATCTCGCGCACTCGGTGCGTGACTTGGGCGGTAAAATGGCCAAAGCAAAAGCTAAGCGCTCGAGCTGAGCTACATCGGATTGCACGCACTTCAAGACGCATAAAAAAAATTAAAAAAAAAACGATTGGGCGGAAAAATGGCTGAGATGTCACCACTCAAGCAAAAGCGCGCGTGTGCATGAAGTCACTCTATACTACACTTTAATGAAGCGCCACCACACGCGATTTGTTGCATTGATGTACAGGTCTGGAAGGCGATCCCATCGCCATCTGTTGGTTCAGAATCGGCCTAACCAAGCGTGGGGTTGCACCTTAAGCTCAGACTGCAGCCACTGCCGCAAGCATGAGAACACGAGACATGGCTTTGAAAGGTTCTTCTGCATGCAGAACGAGTGTTCGCGTTAGAAAGGCATGTCTCAAAATCAGAAGCGCGGGCTAGCTTGTGCTTGTAGCTTTGGCTGTAATGTCAGCTGGAGGTTGAACGGAGTAAAAAGGCAGCAAAATAATGGCCTAGACTCCGACGAATAATACGGCCGTTGCAGAAAAACGTTCACAGTCCCTAAGACACTGGCACAGTCTTTTCGATCTGACGCCAACATCGGCACAATAATGGGTGCTACTGGGGACATCACGCCCGATCTGACGCTCCAATTAACCATGGAGCTGCTTACTACACACTGTTCGTTTTACGTGGTTCGATATAAAAAGTGGTCTTACGTTTGTTGGTATTGCAGGGGTCAAATATCATGTAGGTTTTTACCGGCGTATATCTTTCGCTTATTTCCGGAACTCGCTTCGATCTGCTTTCTGTAAAGGCGTTTGCGGCTACAACCGGTATAAAAATGACCGCTACGAACATGTTGAGAATTCCTGTCAGCGGTTCAGAGGGTCTCATAAGTCGTAACTAACGCTTTTAGCCCGGTTCCTTCCGTCTTATATAGCTTGAGAGCGTAACAGGGGGAAAATAAAATGCACACTTCTGTCATCTAAAAAGGTACAACAAAAAATTTACTTGAAGAATGCCTTTGATGATGTACGTCGTGTTAAGACACCATGGAAAGTTTCATCAGATCACTAACGTTTGCTACGGTAGACGAGGCAGCGCTCCGAGTGCGCGCCCGCTGTGATTTTAAAGCAGGCTTTCTATATCGTGGAAGATGGCTACTGCCCAGGCTCAAAACGCATTCCACAGCCCGGTAGGGAAGGATGGTAGAGCCCAGAAGGTGAGATTTGGAAAGGTCTATACGCGACTCCAGCAAAAACGGACGACACCTATCGGGAAAACACGTAACTGGCCGATACAGGTCAATTCGAGATTTCTGCTCGTCTCTAATGGCTTCCATGATTACATGGTGTCGGTGGTTTGCGCGATAGAACAGTTGTCTCGGTAAGTGTGTCGTAACTGTGATATCAACTGCACTCTAAAAAAAGCCCGTGCGTCTACTTTCCCGCACAGCACTCGGCGAGCCAATCACCGCAACTTACGGAGACAGCTCAGCGAATGACGATGCCGAAACATCTGTTTAGACCAAAAAAAAAAAAAAAAAACGCAGTCTGAGTTCTGACATTAAGCATTGCAAGCGTGACGTTTTGCATTGCTTAATGTCACAACTCAGACTGCATTTTTTGGTCTAAACATGTTTCCGCATCGTCATTCGAGGAGCTGCCTCAGTAAGTTGTGCGGGAAAGTAGACGCACGGGCTTTTTTAAGAGTGTGGTTACTCAGGTAGCTCTGAAGGCAACCCACGCAACCGCGTGAACTAGACATTCCGCGTTTATCGACGTTCATCAGCACCTTGGAAGGAAAGAAGGCAGTCCTTTCGTCGCTTCCTCGAAAAAACGTCAAGCCTCTGCAAGCTCGCTGACGCCAACACATCGCCGCAGGTTCGAAACGTGGAGGATAAAAAGCGGGGCAAACCATTTTGAGTCTGACGCGTGCTTGACGATGCCCCAGCGATGTGCGTTGCTCTGGCTCTTGGGCACGGCACGATCTGTTTTAGACTGCCATATTTGCCCGATAGTGAATCTCCTATAGGTTGCTGGAATCGAAAATAGACCTCTTTTTTTCTTTTTTTTTTTTTTTTTGTGCCGGACGCCACGTTGACTCCTTAATGTAGCTGATATGGGGCAAATAGCAGATCACTTAATTTGCCGATTGGAAGTCGCTAGAATTCTCGGGGTTCGTGCCAATAGTTCAACCTTTTTTTCATGGTGATATACTTTTTTTTTTAATTGTAGTTGTGATTTAACTATATTTTTTTTTGTTGCCTAACCGAAGTACGTCATACGGCAACCGTAATACGAACACGGTTTCTCTTTAAGTCCGAATGCAGCCGGCGCAAGGATCAAATGAAACCAGTCAAGCCGCACTAATGGACATCGTCACGGTGATCGTTGTCCTTGTGTTTTTTTTTTTAGAGCGCAGTTCTGAGGCGCCAGTTTCCGGCTTGAGCGGCGTCGCCGTCGGCGTAACCGCGCGGTGCATTATGGAAAATGTCCCATAATGCACCGCGCGGGGGGGGAGGAGGAGGGAGGGGGAGAGGAAGAGGAGGGGGAGAAGGAGGGAGAGGACGAGGGGGAGGGGAGAGGAAGAGGAGGGGGAGGTGGAGGAGGAGGAGGAGGGGAGGAGAGGGGAGGAGCTTGAAGGAGGAGGGAAGGAGGGAGGAGGGGTATACCTCCCCTCAGTTCTCTTCCCTTCTCCTCAAGAGCTGCGCTCCAATTCGGCGTTACAGGGTGTTGTAAACGTCTTTCATTTTTTAGAGCGCAGCTCTTAGGGGCCCGTTTCCAGCCTGAGCGGCGTCGGCGTCGCCGTTGGCGTCGCCGTCGGCGTCGCCGTCGCCGTCGGCGTCGGCGTCGGCGTAACCGCGCCCCTCCCTCTCCTCCTCCTCCCCTCCTCCTCCTCTTCCTCCCCCTTTTTCTCCTCCTCCCCTCATTGTGTAGTATGGTCCGGGCGGGTCACGTGACCTCGGGGGGAGGGGGTCACATGACCCGTTTCCAGCCTGTGCGGCGTCGGCGTTGGCGTTGGCGTTGGCGTCGGCGTCGGCGTCGCCCCTCCCCCTCCTCCTCCTCCCCCCTCCTCCCCCGCCAAGGTCACGTGACCCCGGGGGGTGACTCCCCTCCCCCCGCCGGTCACGTGACGGCCCGCCCAAGGTCATGTGATCCCGTCCCCTCGAGGTCACGTGACCCCCCGGGCCTCTGCCCTCCTCCTCCTCCCCCTCCTCCTCCTCCCCTCATTGTCTAGTATGGTTCGGGGGGGAAAGGGTCGCGTAAGAGCACAGCTCTTACGCGACCCTTTCCGGCTTGAGCGGCAAGGAGGAAAGCAGTACGAAGGTGGAGGAGGGGGGAGGAGAGACGAGGAGGCGGAGGCGAGGGGAAGGGAGGAGCTTGAAGGACGAGGAGGTGGTAAAGGAGAGGGAGGGGGAGCAGGAGGGGAGGAGGACTAGCAGGCATGATCACGAGAGAGGAGGAGGAATATACCCTCCACTCCTTCTCCTCAAGAGCTGCGCTCCCATTCGGCGTTACAGGAACTTGTAAACGGCTTTCACTTTTTTTTTAACAACGGCTAGACCAAACGCATAAAAGAAAAGCGCAGAATCGAAGCGTACTTTCTGTGCGTAATAGACTTTTTCCGATATTCAGTCTGGCCACTTTGATCACTATCATCATCTGAGGAATGGCATATGTGCCGTCCTACTGGCGGCCTTGTGTTAACTGTTGTTCAAACTTCTTGAATGTGCTCCGAGCGGTTGAAGCGGGGCCTATACATACGAGACGTTACTACGATGCGACGCAGGAATGGAATACAAAAGTCTCGGAAGCGTCTCTTTCTAAATCGGGTCCAGTCAATCTATTAGCGGCCGATAATAGGCGCTAAATTCCCTTGATATATAAAATATTATCACAGCGTAAGTGTTAGTTTTGAGGCCACGTTCTTTTCGCTTATATGTTTGTCATAGTCGAAATTTAGAGATCCATAAAAAGTTAACTAAAAAAAATAATAAAAAAAAAAAAACCATTCTCGTTTGTGACGAAAACGAGAGATATGGTGCCCGGCAAAACACGAAAGACCGCAGGTCGATTGCCGCCATTAATACGGCAAAACGCGAACTGTCATTTGAGGCACAAGATTGCAGGGAATTTGGAAAGGGCCTATGGCCTCCGTTTAATGCAGTATTGCATTGTATTTTAATGTATCCTGCGGCTAGGTCTTTTTTAAACAATAGTCTAAGTTCGACGCGCGAAAAAAGATGAAAAAAGAAAGAAAAAAAGAATGGGGATGGGGGGAGGTCGTCAGGACAACCATCTGTCACAGGTGAGCCCTGGTGGGCGAAGGGTAATAGCGACACGATCACAGTGATTCAATCGATAGGCGCTAACTTCTAGGTGCGCACATCACCGCCGCACTTTTCACCACGCTTCCAGTCTTTGCCTAGAACAAGCCACGTGGTCATATTCATTCGTGAAGCCTATGCTCCGTTTCACGATAACTTGACGAACGGTGGAGGCTGCGGCCCCCGCGACCAAATAAGGGCACCGGAGTAAGGCACGCGATAACACTCCGTGGTCGAGGCCACCGGGGCCTCGTTACCACCCACAGCAAATAAGCCCTCCGCGACAAAAACTAGTTCTAGGCTTCTTTTTCTTTTAATGGCAGTTGAACTCGCACGATTCTATTTATAGGGAGAGGATATGAGGAATAAATATAAATAATCACAAATGTTTAAACATTAATTATATTTAAGTTAAAAAAAAAAATAGCGCCACCGAAGTATATTTATAAGTGTTTCATGTATTCGTGCTACTTTGCTGGTCATGAAACCTTCGGGAGTCAGCCCAATGAGGAGAACAATGAAGTAGCAGAACTCAAAGTTGTAAGTGCTGACCTCGGTAGAAATATGAACACGCATTCATTTACTTTTTCAATGCACAGACTCTATAAGGAATCTGTTCATTATTTCTACGATTTATGTTAAGACTGAATGTGTTGAACGTACAGTGCGATTAGAGCCTTCCGGTGCGGTGGCCTCTCCTGTTACTGTACAAGTCTTGTTTTGTGTCTCAAATGTCCTACAACGGAACTTTGACTTTTGTCTAGCGACCCATGACGTATGCCTTCTTGTGCTATCTTTTTTCCCTTCCCCCTTCCCATGCGGAGTAGCCAGCTGGAATGCATTTTCTGGCTAACCTCTCTTGCATTTTTTGTTCCGAATTAATAATAATAATAATAAAAAGAGTTGTAAGTCAGCGCGTGTGTTTTTCCTCCTGTGTGTCGTTTTGTGTGGTTGATCTTACACTGTTACCTTAAGATAGGAATCCCCATTTCGCCCAATTTTTCATTTGATCAAGATTAGAACAGATCGAGAGTCGACCTCGTGCCGTCTGCGCGCGTCGTCGTCGTCCTCGGTGGGTTCTGCCAACCGCCTCAGCAGCACCGCAAGACCAAGACGAAGTGTCTGTTATCCCTTTGTCTTAAGTTTGTTATTCTTTCTACCGTCTTTGTCCAATAACCAATACGCTCCCAAGATTATATTCTCATTTTCCTTCTGAGTTTTTTTAGGGATGTTCCTTTCTAGGGTTGTGGTTTATTCTTCTACCCCCCGCCCCCCCCCTTCCCCGACACGTTCCATTAAAGATGGACAGTTCTTTTCGCAAGTGTCGTTGCCGATGCTCCGATGCTCGTCTGCACGCTCACGAATTAATCTCACGCCAACGTCACAGTTCCTCCGAAAGACCAAAATCCTACAGTTGGGCGCTTTTTGAAGTTTATGCGCGGAGTCGTCACATGGCCGCCGCTACCTTCTGTTTTCGTCACCCCTGGTGACATGTCTGATCAGAACTCTGATGCCGGCACGAATCGTATCGGTGCAAAACATCACTGCACATTTGCACATTTCGGAA